CATAAGCTCAGGAAGGCTGTAGAAAAGTCTCTAACTATCCTTCCCTACCAGCTTTGGTAATCCTAGATTTACAGAAAAGCATGTCCTGCCTGTCGATGGGATGCATATCTCTAGGTATGAGCAAGGACAAGCTGCCAGCTAGGGATACTTACAGTGACACACTTAGGTCTGACTTCCCCCCTTTCCACTCTTACCTTAATAATAACCCTGACCTTTGATTCTAACACTATATCACCTTCTTCTCAATTCTCCTCCTTCCCCAGAGAAGCTGAGCGCAGAGGACTCAACATTGTGAGCGCTGGAAAATGCCCTGAGCCATGCCCGGCCAGGGGCCGGAGTCCCCACTACAGAAGCCACATTTCTGACCCCTTCAGAGCTCATGAACAGGAGACGTGCCTCCTTCTCTTGGAGCTGGATGAGCACAGGACACTGGGTGCACTTACCCGATAGTATTTTTCAGGAACTGTGCTGAGAAGAACACACCTACAAAATGCAGAGCTCTAGGGTGTGAGCATAGGTTGTGTGACTGACTGGACATGAGCACGTGAAGCTGTGGCCAGGAGCATCTCTTTCTTTAAAATCACACCCCGCTGCAGCTTTTCCACAAAGGCGGCCCCTCCACCCCGGGAGAGAGCATGCTATCAATCCGTAAGAAGGTATCACCCCTGAATGTGTGCACCCTTTTGCTGGGACCTAGACCGCACCCAAAGATTTTCCTCATGAAAATCCCAGGAACATTTCTCAGTTCATTGACTCTAAGAGATGATTTTCATTTATTTCCACTCATGAAATAGAAGGAAAGCACTTTTTTTCAGTCTGTAAATAATGTTTCAAATATTTTTTCAGACCCAAGGAAGTAGAGGATCCAGAGTAAAAAGATTCAAGTTTTAGACGCTGCCTTGAACATTTTAACAAGATCCTCAAGTCTGTGATGTTACAATCTGAACTGTAGTCTCGCTGGCCAGGACTCATGGGCTTATTCCATATTAAACAAGGGAGTTTTAAAGAACAATGAAAAAAATATGCAGATGAAATGTCTCTGTACACAGACTCCTGATTTTGAGTTTGCCACTGGATGGACATGAGTCTTGTGTTCTTCCACCTAAGTGGGAAATAAACCAAAAGACTATCTCTCAAGGGTTACTAAAACCTATGAGATATATAAAGGGTAGAGAGGAGTTGTAAAGAGCCTGGGAATGGGAGATCTGCTAATTGAAGAAGGAAACAGAAGTATAGTTATGGCTAAGGAAATAAAATGGATAAAGGATGTTTGTGTTTGCTTTTAATGAACGGTGAGTTGCTCCCTCTAGCAGATCTAGAAGGGAGTCTGCATGCAAACAGGTGGGAATAAAATGGTATTGTAGACGGCACTGTGGTCTGGCTGGCATGACCCAAGCGACGGGAGCAGTCAGGAATGGGCTGATGTGCACTCAGGGCAGCCAAGGAGAACACCCAGCGGAAGCCCAATCAGGAGAAGCATCACAGGGTGTTTTCCACTCGGGGAAGGCAGAGATGGGGTGAACCTCGGCATGGCTCCTGCCATGCAGGGAAGGGCCATGTGTGGGGAGTCAGGACGTTATATGTTCTGGAACGATCTACACATCTGCGAACTATCAGAGCTTACTGAAAGAAAAGTACAGGCAACAAGGTGCTTAGAGGTGAATTCTGTGTGATCCCTGTTGATATTCAGAGGCGAGTGGGCTTTGGAAGCCGAGCCTGAGCAGAAAGAAAAAAAAAAGCTCTGGGGTTTCCCAACCTCTAATGAGCCTGCAGTTTATATTTCCACAGAAACCTAAAATTTTGGCTGAGTTTCACAGGGTCTTCCCAATGTTTCAAATATTATTCATGGAAGATGCTTACATTCATTATCTTCAAAGATCTTGGAAAGTAGCTAGCCCCTTGAACATGCTTAATGAATAATTACTGAATGAATGAATCAAGCATGTTCCCAAGTGAGGAGTGTATCTTACATCAGTTAAAACAGGAGTCAGTAATGTGTAAGATATAGCCGACATTCTCTTTATTACAGCCATTTGGCAAATTGAGAACATGCTCTAGGAATCGGAATCTCCCTCTGAGGTGAGTGTAGTAACTATAAAGAAAGATCTTGGCAGCTCTCTCCTGGGGCCCACCGGGCTTACTAAGCATTTTAAGAGGACACGACATTATCCTAGTGGCTGGTGAGATAACCCACTTCTCGGTGTGCGAGAGGAGGTGTGGTCCTGCCTATCGCAGCCAGTGAATTCTGTACTGAGGTCTAGAGCTGGTGCTGATGGAATGAGAAACAAGTCAGGCTTGCAGCCTGGCTCCTTTCTAGTTGGTTCAAATTTCAGTTTTCTATTCCAGAGGAGGCAGAAAACTTTTTGCTGCCTCATGTGCTAGGGAAGGACTAAAACTCAAGTAGAAAAAGGAGGCTGGGTATAGGCTGGGCTGGGCATTGTGAGCCAAGGGTGGAAGGGCAGGCAAGGGTCTGGGTCTCTGAGCAGTAGCCTGTGGCTGGAACTTAACAAACCTCGGAGATGTTCGGCAACTCGACTCACTTATCTGATAATGAAAAGAGCCGTAGGATCACAGGACCCTGAATAGAAAAGGCAGTATTCTGCCAACCTAGTGGAGCACCAGGCCTCCAAGCTTCTGCGATCTGCACTGATCAATCTTTTCAATTGTTCCCTCAGTGACATAGTACTTGCTCTGACCTTGCCCAACTCCAGGTCCATCACATCATCAAGTTTTGCTGCTCTGGAGCTCACAGGTGTGACTGTACATGCAAAATCATAGTTTTGGAATGGGCCCTTAATTCTGCTTAAACACATTTTTACATGTCCCTCCTTGTTTTCACTCCTTATTTTGATTTTTTTCCCTCCCTCCTCAAGACAAACTCCTGTTCAAATGATAATCATCTAGTAGCTCCCATCTGTAGAGCACCTTTATGTGAATATGTTGGACATGCTTTATCTTTAATAATCCTAATTTCTCATAAGTATTGTTATCCCAGAATGGTTTACAGTTTAGAACGTGTTTTCACATACATTATATAGTTCTTCAACCTAAGAATTAAAAGTAATTATTGACTCAATTTTACAAATGATAACACTGAAATATAGACAAGTTATGTGATATCATTCATGGGCAGATGAGCTGGGATTCAAACTTGTGTCCTCCCAGTCTACATTCCATGCATATCCAACAGTATAGTGTAAAGAAAACTGAAGCTCTCAGACATAAACTCCTTCAAATTTCTCTATATCCACCTTTAAATCTATCTTTTTTTTTAACCCCTCCTCTCTTCTATATCAGGGAGCTGATTCTATTCTGTGTTCCTAAAAGTTCTCTCAACTGTTCAAGAGAGAAATATCTATTCCCATTTCAACTGTGTACAGATGACTTTCGAATAAATCATTCTCTGGGCTCTAAGGAAGGGCATATCTGCATAGTAATATACCTTTATATATACCAAATAGAGCTCCCCCACCCCCTCAGTTCTCTACAACTAATTAAGTCAGTTTTTTGTCAGTGATTCATGTACTTCCATATCTCCACACTTTTGCTCATACTGATTTGCAACTTTGTTCTTCTGTTCTCTACTTGTAGAAACTGTATTTATCCTTTAAGAATGAGCTCAAATGTTATACTTGTAATGAATATTTCCCCAATTCTTCCAGTCAGGTTTAATGATGTATTCTCTATGTTCCCGAAGCACTTTGTGTATAAGAATAACACATCACTTATCACATGAAAATATTATTTGTCTTCATCTCTGTTTCAATTTATGGGTTGTCAGCACAATAAAGACGAGAATTTTATTTATCTCCACATACCCTGAAGCAATAAACATAGCCCTTGAGTGTTTGTTGAATGAATGAATGAACTAATGAATGGTGATTCAGTTACTGCTCCAATTTTACAATATGCCCAAGGAGGGCATGATCTGATTTGGGGTTATTTTTTTTCTCATCGTAAATCTTCACTATCATCCTGGGAATTTATCTTGCCTGCTTTGTGAACATATTGAGTTTTAAATTTAAAAAAATTATCTACTGTATGAAAATCACAGAAAAATAAAGGGAATGATACATAAGTTTTCTTTCCTTGTAAAAGTAAATACACTATGTCATCTAGGTGATCAATTTACAGATAGGCATCCCAAAATATTAAAATTTGTATTTGTAAATTAAAAATATAAGATAATCAGAATTGATTTTCTATTAGTAAATCCTTATGTTCAGATACAACACAAAAGTAAACTTCATTAGATTAGAATAATAAGTTTGGGAGGTAGGAAAAAAAAGCTAGCCTGAATTATGGAAGTCAGAATTTATTGAAAGCAATGCAGTTTTATTACTTTCAGTACTATGATCTGCCAATAAAGTCTGTCTAAGGAGACATCTACTTAATGACATGGATCCTTATTTTATAGCTGAATCTTTTTGCCTAAAGACCATATGCTACAGCCATGAAAACAATTATTCTTTTTAAATCAGTCACAGGTATTGCCTTTATTTATCTTATCAAATCCATTCCTTGCACCCAATTCAAAGGTAAATTTCATGATAGTCTCGGTCAAATGGTCAAAAATTGTGTATTAGAATATCTTAGTAAGGTTTTATTGTATTCTTAGAGAAAGACATTTCTGGAAAATAAAGTCCAATGTCTCAGGGAAGTGTTAAATACTTTTAAAGAAAACCAGGAAAAATGCAAACTCTTTCAAATAACAGGAACATTAATTATTCATTAAGCTAGATATAATTGAAATCTATCTTTAAAGTCTTTGGTTTCCTCTGTAAATTTCATGAAGTCAAGGATCATGGTTTGCTCCCTTCTCTCCCACACCCTCCAAGACTTACACCCCAACAATGCCACCGAGGCTGTGCCTGCTGGTAACAGTTATCATCGTAAGAGCAGTGTTTAAAAGGGACACTATGGAGTTTTCAAATATTGTAGTTGTTGCTCTGCTTATCTATAACTATCCAAGGCTCAAACATTACAGGGAGTTTACTCACTGATTCTGGGTACAGGCTGCAAGTAATTTACTGGCCCCCATCCTGGAAAAGAAGAGAAAGAAATTCATATATTAGCATCACATGCAAAGGAATTAAACAAAAAAAAACTTTGTACATAAAGAAACCACAGAGCCTCTAATATTTTATTTCTAGCACAGAAAATCATCGGGAGGTTTTTGATAGAATATGGCATCCCCTGTGGGTTAATGAAGGGGTGATGGCTTGGTGTCACTTATTAGGAAACTGGGCATTATCTTCAAATTTAGCCACAGGAAAGACTGAGCTTTCTGCCTGTTTCCTCTGCGCCAGAGAAAGGAGCCGGGTACTAGTGAGGCAGGTGGAGTTGCAGACTGTCCATCGCTGGACTCTGTGAAATGCTCTCCATAACGTATCAGTGTGTTGCTAGACAATTATAGCTTCCTCTTGGAATCTTTGAGTACTTGTGATAGGTCTTGGGGTAAAATTGGTACTCGGGATAGATATGCCATGTGCATCTCTTGGCACTGAGTATCCAGTGGCCCTGCTGCTTGATATCTTAGTGTATGAAGCCTGAAAGAGTAAATGAATTGAAACCTACCATAAAAGCAATAGGCTCTTTGAGGGAAGTGATCCCAAGAATATTGAAATCATCCAGAACTAATGGTAGTTTATTCTGCAGTGAGGAGCTCCAAGACTGAAATCTTGGGGTTTGGTTTTTCTTGAACCAATAATTTTTCATCCTGATAATCAAGAAGACCCTCTTTCTAGTGGATGAAGTTGCTAAATATTGCACAGTGTATTTCCTCTTTTTTAGTCATCTGTGGTAGAGGAGAGCCTGAGCTCATTCTGAGAACAACCCTAGGGAACTGCAAGGTGGTAATTATATGACTCTTTAGCCTTTTGCTTTTTAGATTACAAAGTTCCAATTCTTCTCTTAAATAAAAATTATAAATATATAACTTACATTAATATTATATACTGTATACTATACCACATATTTCATATAACATATAATCTTAATATAAATATATTTTGCATGCTAAACTATAGATTAATATATTATATACATATATATGTATATTTTGCTTTCTGTATGCTATCTTGTTTTTTTAAATATCTCTTTCAAGTATGCTCACTAAAAACTTGAACAAGTGCTTAAAAATGGTAAGGCTTAAGTAATGGTAGGATTAATTCTCTGTCCTGCTATCCTGCTCTACTTAAACAACTTACTACCCATGCAACTCATTTATAATATTGCTTTTCTAACCCTAATCGAGACAATAATCCTGAAAAGCAATTGGCACTTGCTTTTTAAATCAATCTTTCACTAAATTTCATTTGTGTTCAAATATGCCAGTTTATACTTATGTCAATTAAATATTATTTTTATCTTGAGAATGATTTTAAAAACATATCCAAGGGTATTTTGAATTGTATTGTCATGAATTTCCTGGTATAAGGTTTTAGCAGCTCCCCTTGGTTTAGTAATTTCTGCATTTCGAATGAAGGTATTTATAAGTTATTTGTCTAGTTCATCCATAAGTTATGAGTCCTACAGTATAACTGATCCCCATGGGTTGGAACTTGATAGGTAATCCACTGCTTCAACCCACTCTGATGTAATTGCAACTCTATAGCTACTTGTCCACCCATGTAACAGTAGCATGATTAAGGTCACACTTTCATGGCTTCGTGATAAGAACACTGTTTAGGCTAGAATCCAAAATCTCCCTCCATACAAAACTGATTTTATCCAGCGCAGTCTCATTGTTTATGTAATCTGACACATAACCATGGAAGGAAATTAAATTCATGTGGAAAAAATATTCAAAAAGTCAAATGCAGCTGCTTCCTTATCTCTTAGGATATTCTGGTAAGTGGCTTATTGATTGCATGTAGAATTATTCTAATCAGGTATTGCTTTTAAGCTCTCTGGTTTACACTGATCAAGTTATTTCCTTAAAAAATGCAGACATGACAGGCTCTTCTCCTCATTTGCATGATGTTTCAAATGAAAAGGGTTTAAAGTCATCTACCAATTTTTTTATTTATTGTGGTAAAAGCACAAACATGAAATCTATCCTCTTCACAAATTTTTACATGCACAGTACAGTATTGTTAACTATAAGGACAATGTTGCACAGCAGATCTCTAGAACTTTCTCATCTTGCATGACTAAAACTCTAAGTCCATGGAATAGCAATTCCACATTTCTAATAGATGAAGCCACCCAGCCTCTGGAAACTGCCATCTGCCAATTTCTTAAGGGTCTCGGGAAACCTGAAATTAAAGGATAATAATAAGTGTACACTCAGGGATTGGATACTCTGCCCTGGTCTAGTTGGTTGTCCACATATTGCAGACTGAGGTATGATATTTAGATGAATGCACGTTTTCTACACTCTATAGTAAACTTATTGAACACAGGCATGATCCAGTCTTATTCCCCTTTATAACTTCCCCAAACCTAGTTTAATGTCATATATAAATATGTACTGAATTAAATTAAATTTTAATATTTCTTTTCAAAGGCTAATATGAATTAATATTACTTTTAAGGATCTTATAAAAGACAAGAAAGTAAATGCCATTTGCTTTTGAATTTATGAATTGTTTCCTAAAAAAAGCATCCTCTCCCCCCTCCCAATAATAGTAATAGCATGGATAGCTCTTCAAAGGTTTTGAATATATCTTCTAAATCATTGCTCTTGCCATGCATTCTTTAATGTAATGACTACCTAGGATTTGAGCTCAGCCAGTACAACCAATACAGAATGACTTCCTTGCTACGTGATCATGCATTAAATAACCAGGAATGTACTTCCATGGTCAGCTATGAAAATTATTTTAATCAGCATTTGGGTTTGCTCCACATAACAGAGATTAACTGGGTTTGGCCAGACCCCCTAAAATAAATAAGAGTTAAATCTCATATCCAGTGTACATGTTCTTATATTGTGCTTATGAGATTGATTATGGCATTAAAGGCTTAATTTAGTGGCACAGACAATCTGATGAAACAGGATCTTTCCTCTTCATCACATTACTTTATTCTGAGTCATTTTTGTTTTTGGTGGTAAAGAGTATTTCACCTGTTGAAATTTGGCGTAAGCACCGTACTAAGTGAATAGGTCTAGAGCTCTGATAGGAAATAAATTTTTTTAAAAATTGCGCTTCACAGGTCCTTTTCTGAAGGTTTGAGAGCCCATGCAGCATGAATAGACACTGTCCAGGCAGAGCTCACACTCCAGTGAGAGAACACAAGAATGACCATAATGCACTTATCTCAAAGTAATTCTCCTGCCACATAATAAAGTTGTTTATCATCACCCTTACCTTACAGAGAATACAGCGTTAGAAAAAGGTTGACAGTTTCCTAAGGCCATGTGGCTATTTGTTGTTAAAACTGAAGCAGGGTTACATTTCATGAATGGATCAGTTTGTTTCCCCAGCTTAACTGTTTGGAAATGTGATTATCAATACCCCCTTAATTTTGCATATAAGTATTCTGGTGCCAAAAAAAAATGATCACAGTGAAGTTTAGGTCCTTCATTGTCTAATGCTTGGTTGTTGGATTTAAAGGTCTATTCCAATATTTTCTTTTGAAATATTGACTTAACTTTACCTTCTTTTCTCTTTTGTTCTAAAATTACCTGGACGCACAGTATTAAATAAATAATGACCATAATAACAACTAACATGTACTGAATCCTTATTAAATAGCAGAGATACCGCTGAGCACTTCATGGGAACCTTAATTTAATTTAATACCAGAAGAATCCCATAGGAATACGACTTGCATTTCTGCATATGAAAGACAAGTATGTGTTTCCAGTTCTACACTTTTTTACATAAATCCTACCCATAATCATCATCATCTATATTTCCTAGTTTCAGTTTCATTAAAGTGATTGAGGATTTAAAGACACAAAGCAGAATCCTTTCAAATTTGTTTTGAGTTTTTTCCTAATATTTTAGCATTATATTTTAACACCTACTTCTGTAGCATTTTATTTTCAGTAACTCAACTTTATCAGGTCTTTTCAAAATATCATCATAGAAATAGCAATTCTTTTAAGCCTTCATATGCCATTAGTTTATATAATTTATAGTTGAATCTAACAATTATATGAACAAGTACAATTGGCACCGCAAGCTTGGAAACAGACTCTTGGTCCACAGACATCAGCACAGGTGGGGTCAGAAGTTTACAGGTGGGCTAGAGGGACAGCAGGTGAGGCCCTGGTGGTGAGTCAGCTGTAAGCATCAGTTAGTAGGTTATAACTAGGGAAGGGAGAAAGTCGCTTAATCAGGGAAGTCATTTAAGAGGAGGCCAGTTGAAAGAACCTCTGTTGTATTTAATATTTTATGTATGTATTACTTTGATAAAATTAAGGAATAATTTTTTTTAAGTGGAGGGAAAAAGAGGAAGGGAATGAGTTTAGGTATCTTGCCCAAGATTGAAAAACTAGAGGTGAAACTAAGATTTGGTTCCAGAATTCAGCTTCTAAATCCAGCACTCCACTAGTCTTTCCCTCTAATCCATGAACCTCAGGACAAAGATGACTGTGGAGGGCTGGGTGGGCTACTGCCATCCAGGAAGGGGGCTTGAGACAGCTCAAGGGTGGTCAGCAAGAGGACACAATAACAGAAGAGAGAAGAAACCAGAACATGATAAAACAGCCTTAGATATTTGCAAATAGAAGAACCCTATAAGTGTGGTTTTCTTAAGTTATCCCAAGTATTTCTTGACCTTGGGCCTCACTAGTTCAAAACAAAAGGGATCTCAGCAGGCAAATCTGGCCAACTGAAACTGCCAACTATTTTCAAAACTGGGTTTGGCAACTCTGAAATGGAAGAAACCCTCATTCCATTCCAGCAAATAATAAACATAACAGAAGAACCTCTGACCCAATGGTCCCATGGGGAGCCAGGCGTGGGAGCAAGCTTAATGGAAATCTGAAGACAAAGAGCAATTAAAACAAAATCATTTAAATCTCACCATCCACTTCCTTCTAATCCTTGGGTTTTACAGGTTCTATTTCTGTCAAGTCCTTTGAATA